CATTGATTTTTCCGATATTGAAGAAAAGTATCAAGTTCCTTTTGAAGAAGGATTTGATACAATTATTGTAGTGGACAACGCGCCAGTTGTCGACGAAAGTAAAAAAGATAAATTATTAAAATTTATCAGGAAAATTTTCAAGAATGCTGGTAATATTAAGGAGGGGGGAATCCATATGCCAATGGACCCTGATCCTAAGACCGAAAATCCAACTTCAAAAGGGTAAACGTTGAATAAACTTTTCCATTATTTGTCAAGTTTCGTAAACTGTAAACTTGCTCTACATTATAAAAATTGATCATTTTAACTCTCAGGTTTCTCTTCATTGAATTCGAAACACCTGAACAAGCAGCGATGGCCATAAAACAATATGATGGTTATCCGATGGATAAAACTCATATACTTGCAGTGAACAGATTCACAGATATTGAGAAATATTCGCAGATCGAAGAAGAGTATAAAGAACCGGAAGAAGAAAAATTTGTGGAAAAAGTATGTCATCATGTAAATTTATTAATTCATAATTTCAAATTAATATTTACATTATCAATAGGAGCATTTGAGAAGTTGGCTTACTGATCCTCAAGCCCGTGATCAATTTGTACTTTACCGTGGTGATGATGTATCTATATTTTGGAACAAAAAGACAGAACCACCTGAAGAGGTCCATAAAAGAATAGTAAGTACATATCATGTAACATCAGAGTTTTTTTCAAAATTACCAATTTTAATTTTATCCTATAGAATTGGACGGAGACATATGTTCAATGGTCTCCCTTAGGTACTTATCTCGCAACGTTTCATCGTCAAGGCATTGCATTATGGGGTGGTCCAAGTTGGAACAAGATAATTCGATTTGTACATTCAGGTGTTAAACTTATAGATTTTTCACCTAATGAAAAATATCTTGTTACGTGGAGTAATGAACCAATTACTCTCGGGCCTAATGGAGGAGCGGGCACGCCTTTTGGTCCTGAGGATGAGGGACGTCAAATTATTATTTGGGATGTTCATGGCGGTAATCTCCTTCGATCATTCCCGTCATCAACATTATCCTCTGACGGGACTCCTAACAAAATTACATGGCCAATGTTTAAGTGGTCGCCATCTGACAAGTACTTTGCCAGAGTAACACAGGGGCAACAAGGACAACAGGGGCAACAAATACTTTCGGTATATGAAACACCTAGCATGGGATTAGTTGGTAATAAAAGTATCAAGATCGAAGGTTTAGTTGATTTTGAATGGGCTCCTGCTTCTGATAAAGAAAAAGAAAAGGATAAAAATTCAGGAGATAAGAAGCAAAGAGAGGAATTACTTAGTTATTGGACACCAGAAATAGGAAACCAACCTGCTCGTGTGACCTTATTAAATATTCCATCGAAAGATATTGTACGAACAAGGAATTTGGTTAACGTTACAGATGTATGCTATGAATTTCTTGTTCATAAATAATTCTTTCTATTATATGAAGATATTTATTAGGCAGACATTAATTTCATGAATAACTTTTTTTAGTCCAAAATGCATTGGCAATCAAATGGTGACTTTTTGTGCGTCAAAGTGGACCGCCATACAAAAACCAAAAAGTCAACTTTCTCTAATCTTGAAATCTTTAGAGTTCGTGAAAAAGATATCCCCGTTGAAGTTATTGAAGTGAAAGGTACTTGTAATATTAGCCAAAATTTTTGAAGATGAGCTTATGTTAAATATATTTTTGTTTTTTTTTTTTTGATTTTTTTTACTTTTCATTTAGATGTAGTAATTGCTTTCGCCTGGGAGCCCAAGGGTGAACGTTTTGCAATTATTACAACAAGTGATCCCAATTATGGTCAACCAACACAAGGCGGCGTAACCTTAAAAACAAGTGTATCATTTTATTATCTTGAAAAACCAAAACCCGGTAAAGGTGATTCAGTTGGGACCGCTAATTTCAAACCAATAAGTAAGTATTTATAATTTTATATAATTTTCTTTAAAAAAATATAAACAAACAAAATTTAACATTTATTTATCTAGAAACTCTTGAAAAAAAAACATCAAACGCCATTTATTGGTCGCCCCAAGGCCGACATGTGATCTTAGCTACTTTGCGTTCTGCTACAACTTTTGACTTAGAATTTTGGGATCTAGATTTTGAAACGACTCTTGAACAGAAGGAATTTGCAAAGGCCGATCCCGCTGCAAATTTACAACTAATGAGCACGCAAGAACATTATGGCGTCACTGACGTTGAATGGGATCCTACAGGTCGTTACGTTATTACCAGCTCTAGCTTCTGGAGACATAGTGTAAGCATTAAGAAAGATTTACTGTTTATGATAGTTGTACTTGCAAAATGAGATTTTAACGATATTTCTAAAATAAATAGATAGAAAATGGGTATATCTTATGGGATTTTAAGGGTACACAATTACAAAAACATTTGATGGATAAATTCAAACAATTGTTATGGCGACCTCGACCAAAGAGTTTATTAACAATTGAACAAAAGAAAACAATAAGAAAAAATCTACGTGAGTATTCTAAGACATTTGACGAAGAGGATTACTTAGAAAATTCAACGGTGTCTAAAGAGCAAATCGCTCATCGACGTCGCCTGATGGATGAATGGAATGCATGGCGTAGAAGGGTAGAAAAGGAGTTGTTAGAAGAAAGGGAAAATTCTGGTATTGTTTCACCTTCCAAGCAAGATGACGATACTATAGAGGTTATTGAAGAATGGATTGAAGAAGTAGTGGAAGAGACTGAAGAGATCATTGATGATTAATTACTCTTATAGTTAATCTATATTTTTAGGATATTTTTACAGAAGCACCCACGTTCAATACTATTGCAACATAAATATGAATTTAAAAATTCGAACATAGTTTTATATTTTATTTCTAACTTTGACATATTATACTCCAAGACAAAATTTATTTTTGTACAATAATAACATATGAAAGCAATAATCTGCAACTTGCTTCTTGGTGAATGCGAGATGTTTTTTAATAAAATAATTACAAATTCACTCTTATTAGACCATCATATAGCATTTAAAATATATGTTCTGCAGTGTTGATTACATAATAAACATTGTTGATAAAAATTGTCAATCCTTAATCTTTTTTTTTATTAATATCTTCTTCAAGATCTTCAATATTATCTTCAAGTTCTTCAAGTTTCTTTTTTTGCTTGGCAAGCTCTTCACGAAGTTTCTTTAGTTTCTCGGAATCCTAGATTATAAAATTTAAGAAATTAATAAAGTTTATGAATTAAATCATGATAAAATGAAAAAGAATTAAAACAGACGTGGGCCCTAATCCATTGATCTTCAACAGCCTTTTCCTTCTTAGAGAAAGCACCCCCCGAATCACGAATGTGACCGTCTCCGAAGGGGTTAGGGACAAAGTAACGCGGTTTTAAACTCATTACGACACTTAAAGGAGCAGGACGGTAACTGATATCACCATATATAATAGATGTACGAAGTGGAAAACGAGAACGGGAGGCTAATGAACGAAACATATTATATTTTTTTTTCTGATGAATCAATTTTTTCTTTAATAAATGCAGAAATGGCGCCACCGAAATTCGATATCACGTGCACATCTTTCAACATCAGTGACGTAACTACTGAACGGTCTGTGCATGGGGCGTAAGATTTTTTAAATGTCGATCAATTTATTAAAAAAATTTATTATAATAGAAACTATGTATTTTTAAAATGTTGTAACTCCCTTTCTAGTAAAGCAAATTCGATTCTGTAACTTGCGAATGATATAAACGTAGTGTGGTTTTAAAACTATGTTGCTATATCTAATCTAATACTGTAATATATAAATTTTAGTAGTTTCTATAACTTAATCGTTTAAATAATACCATCAAAACGTTCTAACTCCCGTTATAGTAGAGCAAATTTAATTCTGTAACGTGTAAATGGCATATAAATAGTGTGCTTTTAAAACTATGTTGCCATATTTAATATTAATATGTAAATTTTAGTAGTTCTCTATAACCTAATCGTTAAAATAATTATTAATTCGTAATTTTAGACAAATTAATAAAATGAAATGAAAAATATCTCAACATAGTTTTAAAAACATCTTATTTATATACCATTCGCAATTTACAGAATTGAATTTGCTCCGCTAGAGCGAGAGTTAGAACATTTTAAAAATAGGCGGTTTTTATTATAAAATTACTATGATAAATTTTTTTAATAAATTGATCGACAAAATTTTAAAAATCTCAAATAGAAGGCCAATCATATAGTAAATCATTTGGTATCTAATACCCCAGTCTGTGCATCAGTTTTTCTTTGGTTTAATCATAGCATAAACTTGATTTTTTGCAATTTCCTCAGAAACACTAGTTTTTAATTCGGATATTAGCAATACTGTTTAGATAGGCTTTTCTATAAGTAAACGATATACTATTACCTCTTCTTGCTTAACATTGGCTTGCCTTCTGCGATCTCAGCATCAGAAAATAATTTGGCTAATTCTTGTCCGTCTTTATAATTGTTTATTTGCCAAGAAAGATTCTTGATTATAGGCGAGTTAATATACATTGATAATAATAAAATAAAATAAAATAAAATAAAATCATAAAATACACATGCAAAAGTAAACTGATTATTTATGTAAAATTTGCCACTAGGGCCTGCATCATTGTTATAAAAAATAAAAATGAAATATAGAATAAAGACTTTTCTGTCTTTTCTGGAAACTGTTTACAATTGTCTATAAGATTATTGGTTTATAGAAATATTTCAGACAAACATTACTAAAAAAGAGTCAAAAAAGAATCTTTAACTGTTTCTTGCCTCGACAACTGGGAGATAATAATTTACACCTTTTTCTTTTATCGACCCGTGAATCTCAATATACTTGCCTGCAATATTTACACTAAATCTTATATAATTATTAAAAAAAGATTCTTTCAAGCATTTTGAGCTAACTTATGATAGAGTGTCCAGACTCGTGCAAATTAAAACGTTAAATTTAGATCAAAAAAGCTATATACATATTATATGCATTGGCTTTTATTATGTTGATATTAAATAATATTGCATTTTGCACAAATATTACACTAGTTGCATCAAAAAAGATAAATTTACCATGCATTTTATGTGTCTAAAATGTAATTGCACAAGTCTGGACACTCTAACTTATGATCTCGATGAATCTTATCTTCGCTAGCATTCTATTTTCCACTTTCGAAGAATAGAATTTTTTTCCCATTTCTGACGAAGGTAAGCGCGAATCATCATATCAGGCTTAACACTTCTTTTCGGTTTTTACTGACTATGCTTTGTCTTTCGGATCTTGTGACTTCAATTTCAAAATTGACAAGTAAACGGAACATTGTCATATCTATTAAACGGGCAATAATTTCTATCAAAGTATTTCTGAATTCCCAGAAACTCTTTGGAGTGTATTCAACTTAATTTCTTGTAAAAAAACTTCAATAATTCAGCTTGCTATGCGTTGCCTGACTTGATCGTTTTCCTTCTCTTAAAAACAACACAAATTTATGCGATTCCTGGGCCTCATTTCTCTTTGACACTCCCTAATAAGATTGTCTCATCTAGTTTGAGTTTGAAGAATGAGAAAGCAGGTGAAGAAATTTACTTACAACAAGGGATTCAAATCTTTTTCTCTTCTGGAATATTTTATATATTTATTTGAACTAAGATCGATTATTCTCAGATATTACGGATAATTGATCTATATTTTTATGCTACTTATTCTTGTAAAAGTATGTTTGTACACGCGTTACTCTATCCTAACAAATTGAAAAATGACGGTTTGTGGGAGAATAAAAAAATAAATAAATAAATTAGATGACTATCTATAATATTTTGATTTTATCTTTCGGAATTGCTATATTATTTAAGGCCTAATCTTTCCAATCATATTTTCCTCACAAGACCCCATATCTTTTAACAATAGTAACCTAATAAATTTTATCTAACATAACATAGCTGAAATCAACAACTAAAAAAATATATAATGCAATTTGATTGGTTAACTCGATTTGTTTTTCATGCAAAACTTTAAAAAATAAAGAGAATTAAATATGCTCACTATCACTAGTAATTAAAGCTTGAATCTAATGAATTAAATGTATATTTGCCAAAATTTGCATTTATCAAGATCTCGTATGGCAAGTTCACGATTTCTTGTTTCTAATTTTTTTTTTGTTTTGTTTTGAAAACAAAATGCCATGGATGGCCCGTGGGTCAACCCACCCGGAGGGCTATAATTCAACCTGGTTACCCACGGGCCACCCGGGTGATATCCGGATCACTATTTTATATTAAAAAAAAAAGTAAATGAATTGATATTCTTCTTCGCAAATCATTCTATGCTGTAAATGACCGAGTTACAAGAATATTCATTCATTTTTAACTCACAATGCAATTAAAAGCCTATTAAATTTCTCGATTTCAAATCTGTTAATTGATGTCATAAAATCTTTATTTTATTACACGAAAAGATTATGATTTCAGTATCAAAGTTTTTCGAAATCTACTAAACACAGTTATTGGAACTGCCAAAGATCATTGGGTCAAAAATCATCAGCTTACGAAATCTTGGAATATTGACAATCAAAATTTTGCCGATATGTTCTACCGAAAGAATATATGACGTACTTTCATTTGCATCAAGGTATTCTAAAACATATTCGATCTTCGAAACTATGGGATACGGTATGTAATTTAAATTCAAGCTTTAAAAATTTTAAATTAAAAACAAATTTTTTATATAACAGATAAGTTATATATATTTTAATTTAGTTGTAAATTTCTGAGCAATACAGTTACGTTTTGCAATCACTCGTTAAATAATTAAACTTTTACAGAATGAAATTTTTTTAATTCGATTGCGCCAATAAATTTCTTAAGTTGATTAATTTCAATGACAAGACTCTATCACATGTGCTAAAATTTTTTCTTGGGGCCAAATCCGAATTGGATAATATTGTTATAGGTATCGAGAAGCTTTACAAGCACAATTAGTGACACAAATTGGTTATACAATAAATTACTGCAAATGTAAAAAGGTAAATTTGCCTCGCGGAAAATTTCAATAATCGTTGCTTGTAGTATGACTAGGATATATGCATGAACAGCTTTGCGAGGTGTTGCTGTTTAAATTGAATTTAACGCTTTTAATTTTGAAATTGAATATGCACTAAGTGGATTTTGAATCAACTTTAATGATTGAGTGGATTTAAAATTCCGTTTCAACTTATGTGTAATTAGACTCAACTTATGCTGATTCTAAATCTACAAAGATTACCAAAAATGTAATATATTTTTTTTATTCGCATAACGTCGATATTTTATTCTGGCAACATTTTTATGAAATAAAGATGTCCCATGTGTTCCCCATTTTTAACAGATCTTGTTTCACTAATGCTTATTAACTATATTCTATGAATATTAATTAAAGATAAGAAATCCATGTAAATGATGAAGGCAATGTAATGTGTTTAAGCATTATAAAAAGTTGTAAAACCATTCGAACCAAGAATAAAATTCGAAAATTTTTTTTAATCATTAATGCATAATTGCGAAAAAAGCCCTCGTCTGAAAATCACAATCATCTTGGAGTCTTATCACAATACCAAATTCTTTCTCGAGTTTAAAATTATTTGTAGAATGAAAAGCATGCAAGAAATTATAGGAAGCTAAAAAAAAAAAACATATAAATTTGAAGTAATATATTCATTTTCTTATAAACTCGTAAACTATTGCTGGATTACATCTGTCTCAAGATCTAATCCCCCTTGATTGCTTGATGCTTTTGATTTTCTAGCCTAAAAATCTCGGCACCATTATGAAATAAAGTATAGTTAGGAATCCAAGTAATATAAAAACTGTTATTATGAATTGGTTCATTTTGATTTTCCGTCATATTTCTAAGAATAGTGTTAGCTGGAACTTGAATTTGACGGCCTCGGTTGTTTACGAAATATATCCTCGCTACATCACTAGTAACTCTTTCAATCCTTATTGTCGACATAAATAACATTTATGTCATCGTTTTTGTAGGAGAAAGAACCCTTGTAAGACATAGTTGCAGAAGGATCATTGGTAAAGTCTGTCGTTGGCATTATAGTTATTAAATTCAAAAATACGCGTTTTGGAACAACTACTACCGGTATTGTACTATGAGCGTATCTTAAAAAATTATCGTGAAAACTAAATACTATTGGCCAAGTTCTGTAGATCACCCTAATCCTAATCAATCAGATGTTTTAATTTCAGTCCGCTCCGCGACATTAGTATCTATAAAATTAATTTTTCAAAAAAAAATAATATAAGTTATACCTCAATAACTAGATTTAAATAACACTTTAACAAAATTTATTTTAAGCATTTAATCTAGTTAAGTTTTAACTATTAGATTATAGATAATCTTATTTTTATAATATAAAAATATAATACGTAATATATATTGTCGGAGATGATGCTGAAATTTGAACTTATTTTAATATGAAATTTTATTTGATTTTTTTTTTATAGTTCAGTAGTTAGATTAGGATTTAGGGTTAGGGTTTATAATTAAAGAGTATAGGTGGGTTTTAGTAGAATTTATATTTTTAAATAGAGATACTAAATTTCAGCATCATCCTATCCCAGACATATTATTTCAAGAGGTTTACTGGGCTTTTTTAATAAAATAATATTGCTGCAGCATTTGTTCACAAGATTCTTCTATGTGGCTTGACCCGCACTTAAGGGTCCGCCCTGGCTGGGTTTATAATAGAACTTTTAGTCGACTAAGTCAGCTAAGCCAGCTTTTATAAATTCGGCTTAGGGTATCAATGGATCAGAGGCAAAATTTTAATAGTCGGAAATTGAATAAATTAACCAAGTGAACTGCTACAAACCATCTTTCTCTTCAAAAATTTACCATTGATAAAGGTCGTTCAAGCATTACTTTTATATGAACGTAATAAATGCAACACATCTAAAGATTTCTTATAAAAGATTTTTTTAAAAAAATTTACTTGTTTCCGCAAAGATTCTTGCTAAGTTGATTCTGTTACTGTTGTAATAAAAATTTAATTAGCAAAATCATTAAAAGGTGAAGCCAGTGAAACCTGAAGTTGAAATTTTGGCAGCTGGTTAAATAAAAAATTTTTTTATTAGGTTTTGCAGGAAGCGTAGCGAAAATTACAAAAATTTGAAAGAGTACGCTCAAGCATTTAATTCTATAAATGTCGTCATTGATTGTGATGCTTGAGTGTTACCATGATCATTATTTAAATAATTAATAACACTAGTTTGGAAATTCGGAAATAAAGAAACTGTCGAGTTTGGACTGCATTTCTAATCCTTCGTTTTGCTTCACAACAAATATCCCACAATTTACAAAAACTTTTCCTATTAGAATCACAAGATTTTAGCCACTTTTTTGGGCATAGTTAGATTCAGTAAATACCAGGCACATAAAACTGGAACTTTTGCAGAACATTAACGGTTAGAAATGAAACTTATATGAAACTATATAGTTTCGAAAAACACTAAAATTAACGAAACTCGTTTCTAAAATCCGAAACATAAATTTTTGAAATATAAAACTTTTCTGCATTAAGTAATAGATTACTTGTTGTAACATTTCTCATCCTGTAACATCAACTTATCTTTGTCAAATTTCTACTTTATATCGCAATTGTGTCAGACTTGATAAATTCATCTTTAAAGTACATAATAGTTAAGTACTAGAAGAGACAAAGTTTAATAAATCTATTAAGACTGCGCGAAAATAATGCATTAGTTCAAAAATTCCGGTTTCATATCTGTATAATCATATGTCGATTCACGCAGACTTACGTACGTATCAAGATTAACCCGATCATTCCTATTTAATCTATTTAGTCGCTAAAAATAGGAAGACTTTCTACCTTAGTGTCGTGTAACCAATAGTGAAAAAATTGAAACATCTATTTTACAAATAAAGTTATGAATGTATATAATGTATAAAGCTATTTTAGAACCTAAATTGCTAAATTACATTAAATTGCATGAAACAGATTAATAAGAGATTAATAAGCAAATTATCAAAATTATCTATCTATTTGTCACATGAACATATATATCGTATTAATCATGCTATGGATTTTTGATCAATTTGTCCAGTAAGAAACTTATTAATATCAGCATACAAAATACTTCGTGTAACCTTTCTTATATTTTAAATACAAAACGTGGGAATAAGACGACGACAATCATCCTTTTATTTTTTATTATCATGGATAAAACTCAGCTTACTGGTCTCACGACAATAATCGGTAATTTGATATTTTTATTTTTTATATGATAAAATATAAAGTATTATCAATATAATTGTCATTATGTTTGATTAATTCCAGTTCTCGGTGCTTCTGGTGACCTTGCAAAAAAGAAGACATATCCTGCACTTTTTGGTCTTTATCGCAATGGTTTTTTGCCTGAAGGAACCCGTATCATTGGTTATGCAAGGTCCAATCTTACAATACAAGAATTTCATAATCGTCTTCTTGAATTTGCTAAACTTCCTTCTGATCCTATTAAGGAGCAGTTTAAGCAATTCTTAAATCTTTGTACGTATGTTTCTGGTCAATATGATAAAGACGAAGATTATAAAAGATTGAACAATGCTGTAGAAGAAGTTGAGATGGGATTTGAAAATGGAAATAAAAACCGAGTTTTCTATATGGCTTTACCTCCTAGCGTGTTTATACCTGTAGCTCATGGCGTAAAAAATAATCTCTATTCTAAAAAGGGTTTAAATCGCTTAATTGTTGAAAAACCCTTCGGGATGGATTTGGAAAGCTCCCGTGAACTGGGTAAAGCATTAGCTCCTTTATGGAGAGAAGATGAGGTTTGTTTGCCATTGGTTCCTGAAAAAGGGATCGTATCTACTACCCATATAATGATCCATTGAATAAATTTTTAAACTTTAGTACAATTTAAACTTGTATAAAATACAATAGACTTATCGTATTGATCATTATCTTGGAAAAGAAATGGTTAAAAACCTATTGATTATCCGCTTTGCAAATATATTTTTCGGAGCTATTTGGAATCGCCAGAGTATTGCTAATGTTCAGATTACTTTTAAAGAAAAAATCGGAACTGAAGGTCGAGGTGGATACTTTGATGAATTTGGCATAATTCGGGATGTCATGCAAAATCGTATGTTAAAATAAAATATATAAATCTTATTACTATTTATTATAATTATATACTAATTAGATTTCTTGTCGATTCTTAGACCTTTTACAAATTTTGAGTATTGTTGCTATGGAACGTCCTTTATCATTAAGCTCAGAAGATGTCCGTGATGAAAAAGTTAGTTGCAATAATAATCATTTTTCTCTTTCTCTTTCTCTCTCTCTCTTTTGTGCTTTCGGGGGGTTTTTTTTTGATCTTGCGATTCTTCTTATCTTTGCTCTAGGTTCGTGTCTTACGCTGTATCCCTCCAGTGGAGCTGAAAGACGTTGTCCTTGGACAATATACAAAATCTGAAGATGGTACCAAGCCTGGATACCTAGATGATAAGACTGTACCCCCAGGTAGTAACTGTCCTACTTTCGCAGCTGCGACCTTATGGATTAATAACGAACGTTGGGAAGGTGTTCCTTTTATTCTTAAATGTGGCAAAGGTTTTGTAGAAGAAAATTTTCTTTACAATTTTTCGTTCGATTGTACTTGTTGTTAAACTATTTTTATTCTCATAAATAGCTCTCAATGAGCAAAAGACCGAAATTCGAGTTCAATTTCAGCACGTGCCTGGCAATGTGTTCAAGGATGCACCTCGTAATGAGTTGGTTATCCGTGTTCAGCCGGGTGAGGCTGTTTATATGAAAATGGTAAATAAATTGCCGGGTCTTTCAATGGATACGGTAATTTCTGAACTGGACCTTACATATCATCGTCGCTTTTCTGATCTAAAAATTCCCGATGCATATGAAGCTTTGATTCTTGATGTATTAAAAGGTGATCATTCTAATTTTGTGCGCGATGATGAATTGGATGCAGCCTGGAAAATTTTTACACCAATCTTACATAAAATCGACAATGAAAAAATCAAACCGGTACCTTATGCTTATGGGTCACGTGGCCCTGCAAAAATCGATGAATTTGTTGCGAGTTATGGTTTCAAGAGGTCTCCGCAACAATATAACTGGCCGGGAAGTCAGTAGTAAATCCTAATGTTGTTAATTATGTTTATTTATCTTTTTGTGATAATAACATTGAAACGCATCAAATCATTGTAAACCTATCCTATTCACTATCCCGTACTATCCATCCGTATATTACCTTATTCATTTTTCGTATGTACCCGTTGTAATTCAAAGACTCGAATACGCCAATACTCAACAAACTTTAAAGGACATTTTGGATTTATGCAACTCGGAATTGCCACTCACTACCTTTTCCATGTAGGAAATACAATGTTTTGGTATCAAAGTTTTTTGTTTTTTTTTTCTTCTCAATATAATTCAAGAAATTTTGTATATAATGTGTACTTTTGAATTTATGTGTATCTTTTTTTTATTTACTATCTTGTGATACAATTTCAATGTGGTTACTATTTATTTGATGAGTTGTACCAAAGCAGAATATTTCTATATCAGAAACAGACTTGAGATTTCAATAAAAACTAATTAAAAAATACATAACTAGAAAATCAATTTAAAAATGCGCATAGTTTATATTTATATAATAATATATAGTATGATAATATGAGATAACATCACGTTGGTATAGTGATAATTTTTTTGACCGCTTATGACCACCAAAATCAGTTACGTAATCGTAGTTTAAAATCTGAGATCTTGTAATCCAGCACATTTTATCATATTATATTATATCGATATATAACGATAAAAACTTTTATTAAGGTATTATAACGATTTAAAATTTTTATTATAAAAATTTTATTATAAAAGGTATATTGCGTGATATTATAACGATAAATATTAAAATTTTAATTATTAAAAGATTTTTATTGCGTAAAATAAAATGCCAATGTTCGGGCTTTGTTATCTAACTTTATATACTATAAAATGAAATATTTATGAGTTTTAAATTTATTACGTACCAATAGAAAGTATTCTTGTTTCGTTTATTCCAGGTTTTTTGATTGGTTCAAGATTTTTTATGTCGTCTACCATCTTTTGAATCGGTTTGAAGCTTGATTCAATGTTTTCAACCATTCTCTTTGCTGTGGAAGGTTATAAGACTTTTCAAGAAGATCAAACGTCTATATTAGAGTAATATTAATAATACTTTTATTATGTTATACAGTACATGTATAATTAACTCAATAAAATAATAAATAAGCTATACCTCATGAAGAGTTTTTTTATGCTGATCGATAACTCTCAATTCTGTTCATCATTTGATTCATCTGCAATATTATCATTGTCAAAAACAGTTGAATTAATTGTTATCGCTAAAGAAAGTTGTATATGGTCAGATGATATACGAATGTTCTTCCATATCATTTTTTCAGCTTTTTCAATTATTGAATAATTTGAATTTCGTTGAACTTTAATTGAAAATTATTAATAATAAATAAATACATTTTCAAAAAACAATATACAGTTGACCCTCTCAAAACCAATCCTGTCAAAGCCGATAAAAAATTAATCTACTAAGTCCATTCCCGTTATATAAACTAATAGTTTGTTATGTTTTCAAATCCGATAACCTCTTAAAACTGATACAAAACCCGTTCACCATGCATACCGATTCTGAGAAGGTCAACTGTAAATAAATCTATCAAACCTTCCTAAAAAATATTACTGATGCTAATTTATTTTGTAAATCAACTCTAACAAGAATAGCATCTCTACAATCATAACGGTCCAACCGTGACTCTGTGTTGTGTTGCTTAGAACTATCTAAAACATTTGTTGTTACCACGAATATCCATATTCTGCTCTTGAAGTTTCCGTTTTTTTCTTTATTTATACGTTAAGCATTCGATACATGTTTTTTTATTATTTTCAAATTTATTAATTTGTTTTATTTTTCGACAAATTGATCTGTCGACTACTGCATATAGAAATTATTCAATTACGTATTTTTGATGTTTTCGAAAATTGAAATTACGTAGCAAGATCGTTTCTGAGATATTTTCGTTCAAAATTTAGATTCTGCGTGATCACTAAGCCCTAGTGAAGTCTAGAAATCTTGATTCGATTGAACAGAATAATCAGCTTTTACTAGCTAAATTTTTATGAAATATGGTAAAAAAAGAAATTTTTAAACGATCATCGTAACGATACTATATTATAAATAGATATCGTCATAAAATAGCTAATATACTACAGTCGATACTGTCTAAATGCATACCGTCGGGAAAGGCAAAAAAAAATCAAATTTATGCATTTATACAGTATCAA